AGATCTTCACAGCCCTCAGGCTTCATTAGTGACTACCTCCTGTGTGCCAGACACCACACTGGGAGCTTTTGTTTATTATTATCTGCAGCTTCAACCAAAAGCTGAGAGGTAAGCATTGTATAGAGCCTGGTGTCTTTTCTCTTTAAAACACTAAGTTCATTTAAGGATAGGATTGATATGATCCTCTATCCACCAAGCCCTTGGTTAAAGAGGATCACTCTGTAGCATGACAACCTTCCTTTGCTACTTGGGGAGAAACTATCATCTATCTCGGGCTTTTAAATATAACCTCATTATATTCCGTTTGCCAATGTTGGAAAGAGCCATGTTCTGGTCTTGGCTGGGATTTGCAAGACCTGGAGCATTGAAGAGGGCCTGTCTAATCCGGTGAGAATGAGGTTGCTAAGGAGACCATTGTCATCTTAAATCAGTAAATACTGGGATGCTGATGGCTTCCCTGAAAAGGGGGTGCTTTCTCTTTTGAGAAAGGAAAACAATTCCCTTTGCATTAGAGGGGAAAAGCCATCATGGAAAGTGGTGTTTGAAAAGGGAGCAAACCACTTTGAAACTCTATATCTTTCTGGTTTATCAGGAGGCAAGAGGAGAGGCAGGAGGGACAGGAGTTGTATTTTACCTTATCAAGAAATCTAGGCTTCCTAAGCTTCCTTCTGGAAACCTTGTGCCCTATACTTAATAGCAAGTGATTTTTTTGAAAGAGAGAGAGATAGAAAATAAAGAAAAACAAAATTAGGAGAGCCAATGTAGGAGAGAGTAAAAGACTGGTTTAGCACACAGCAGGCACCTAATGAGGCAATGACTTCAGATGTCAAACTGGCTTGAAGATGCAAGAAAGACTGCACACTGCTGAAGGAACTAATCCTATGCCTGAGATGAGCTCATTCTGCTTGCTTAGGAAAAGCAAAGCAAAAGCATTAATCTGTTTCCTGATTGATAACAGACTTGGATTAATAAAAAAAGTGCCTATGTATGTATTTCTTGCAATAAAATATTTATTATAGAATTTTAAAGAAAGATTGATTGACCAGATGAATAAATACTATTCCAGGTTGCTGAAGTTTTAAGTTCTGTCCTCCAACAAATATAGATTTATCCAAAGTGTATTCAAATTTTTGAAATAGTCAGCTATAACTGGTTGAGCTCTTGTAAGTACTGAGACGGGGTCTATATAAAGCCAAAATAGGAACCCTCCAAAGAACTCAGCTTCTCAACCACTTTTGGTTCATAAAATAAAATATCCATGAATTATAGGTGCTGGATGGAAACGTAATGAAAATCTTACCCATCAATTTCAATTTGCAGAAGAAAAGGTTGGAAGCTAGAGAGGTTTGATGCCCCGCTCAAGATCAAACGGGCCCTAAGTAGAACCCAGGTATCCTCACTCCTGGTCCTGTCTACCTTCCACAAAGGAGACCTGTTGGTTTATTTGATGGTTTCAAGTTCTTCATTGAAATTAACCAAGGTATGGCATCCTGTGATCTCCCATCAATCTTAGCCACAAGAATCTAACTTGATCAATTAATTCCTCCCTCATTTTATTCTGTTCTCTTCCTTCTCACAGGAAGTAACATTTCTGCCAACAACAACATCCGCTCCTACTCAACTCTTCGTTCCCTGCAATTCCTGTCTTGCCCGACCCCTGTAGAGTGGAAGAAGGTGATGGATGGGAAGAAAAAGGGGAGATGGACAGCTACCAGGGAAGAATCTGTGATTTGGGAGCCTTTTGGTGACATGCACAGTCAAAGGACTAGGAAAGAATGGCTTTTACAAACAGCATAAATAGAAAACCAGTGGGCCCCAGTGCTCGCTGCTACATAATGAACATGCCTGCCTTTTCCTAACAACATTTTAAGTCGGTAATTGGCCTGACAGGGGACGTGAACTGTACACTAAGTCACAGAACAGTACAGAAAATCTCAGAATGGCTTCACCTCCCATCAGGAAAGCTGCCTGTGTACCAAGCCCTGTAGAGACACATTTCTGGCATTTGGAGGAGTGCAGACGTTCAAAATAAGAAAGGGCTTCAGAGGACAACCATCCCCCGGGTTCCCGGCCTTTTCCACATCAGAAGACTCTTTGATATATTCCTCTCTTTCCCTAGGGCCTCTTGTTCTAAAGGATGCAGCCAGCAAACTAAACTGCTCTGATCATCTAAAAAAAAGGATATGCTTCCCACAGAATAACCACAGATCTATATAACGAATGATCACTCAGTTAATACAATGCCTGTAAAAGATAAGTGGCCTGTCTCATCTAAAATAATCATAATATCAATAATTATATGATTTTATTGGGTGCTTACTAAAGCCCAGATGAGGGATTTACAATGCTTATCTTACTTAATCCTTATGAGACTGTCATAAAGTTGTCTTTATTTCACAACTCAGGAAACAGAGGCACAGAGGAGTTCTGTAACTTACCCAACTAGGTTCAAAACTCAGGTTTATCTGATCGCAAAGTCATTCTTTTTTTTTTTTTTTCTTTTTTTTAGATTTAGCTTCAAAAGAACATTGCCTTTACAAAGAAGTTATTCTTAGCCATGCTACAGTTTTTCTATTAGTCTTTTTGAAATATTGACACTCATCTGGGGGAATGCCCATCAATTTCTTCACAAGCTTTTGCAAGGTTGGAGGCTTTAGGCTAAGTATTGCTGTTTTGGTCTCAACTTTTCCCCTAATAGTTAAGATAATGGAGACCCACAGAGGACTAGAAACTTGCTCAGTATCGACCTAGCTAATTAGCGGTAACACTAATTTTAAATGCCAGTTTTTAAAATTCTGGGTTCTGAGCTCTTTATGTCACACTCAGCTTCAGCAAGTAATAGTTGAACACTTATCAGAGGGAGAGCAGATAAGTAGCAAGCATGTCCTCACCCTCATAACCATATAGCCCTGGCAGACATTACTAATTGATCGTGGAACTCTTGCCTGCTGAACCTGGATGTGGCTCCATGCAGGCACTCCCAATCAATTAGAATTGGCAAATGAGACAAATCTTATTCACTATCGGCACCATATGCAACACTGTTCAAGGTCCTCAAAATGATGTAAAACAAGCGTAAATGAATGTCTGCTTTCAAAAATGCTATCACTATCAGAAAATTATTTCAGTCCAAAGTAATTTATTTCAAAGTACTAGGGCAGACCAACTTCTAATGCCAGTGATTTTTGGAGACAGATAGGCAATATCATGAGTTGATACTAATAACCTGCTCACAAAATCAAGATCAACCAGGATGAGAGTAGGGATAGGGACCACCTTGAGGGGATGGGATGTGAGAATGTGAGTGGGAGAAGGTGGTTGCTGGAGGGTCAGTCAATAGGAGAAGACATTAACTCAAGAGAAATGTGTGAATGCATGAAGCTGAGGGTGGGGTTGAAGTGTAATTTGACAAGGAGGGACACTAAGATTGATAGCTGAAAGAAAATGCGGTATCCACTGTGCTTCAGGGACTGCAATAGTTTGAATGTTTATCTCCTCAAATTTCATGTTGAAATTTGATCCCCAAAACTGGAGGTGGGGCCCAGTGGGAGGTGTTAGGGTCAAAGAGAGAGATTCCCCATGAATGGCTTTGCACTGTCCTCATGGTAATGAGTGTGTTCTCACTCATTACTTCCTTCAAGAGCTGGTTGTTAAAAAGAGCCTAGGATCTCCCCTGCCTCTCTGTGTTTCTTCCTCTCTCACTATGGGATCTCGGCACACACTCACTTTAGTGTTCCAACATGAGTGGAAGCAGCTTGAGGCCCTCACCAGATGCAGATACTGGCTCCATGTTTCTTATACAGCCTGCAGAACCATGAGCCCAAAAATCCTCTTTTCTTTATAATTACACAGCCTCAGGAATTCCGTTATAGCAACACTAAGTGGACTAAGACATGGACAAAGCTGAAATTTAGGGGTGGATGGAGCAGATAAAAAGTATTAATTATTGCATATCAACACTTCTGATTAAGATAGCTCTTCTTTTTGCCTCTTCACCTTTTTAAAATAAGTGACCATGGTAAAAGAAAAAGTTATAGAATTGGGAGAAAAGGACAATATAATATAGGCCCCTCCAAACCTTTGGGACTACTTCCTACTCTGAAGTAGACTTGGACAAGGACATTTTCTGACTCCCAGACGGAAGTGGTGAATGCCATGTGGTCAGCAAATTCTGTCAAGACTCTTCCAGCCAAACAAGTCTGTGTCATCTTGCTTGTTACTTTACCTCTTTAAGGGCAATGGCTCCTGGGATGATGGATCTTGGAAGCATTAGCAAATGGAGTCAAAAGAACTAAGGGAAGAGGACCCAAATGTGGAGTGAGTGAGATGGAGATTGTGTGAGTTATTAGGTATAGAACAGCCCAACTCCAGGGTGGGAAAAGAGGAACGATGTAAATGCTGGGATAGGCATTTCCACTTTGGGATTCTAAGAGATGAAAGTTTTCTGGAGAAGTTTTTCATCAAGGGAGAAATTCTATGTCATGAATGTGTCAAAATTTAGAACGAAGCTCCTTTCATAGGCAAGGGGAGCTCAGGCGCACATTGACGGTGCCCTGAGTTTGGGAAAGAGGACGGTGTCTTCCTAGGCTAAGCAGCTGTCTGTACCACTTTGGATCAATTTCCACTTGAACATGTTGCCACTGCCCTCCAAACTCCATCTTCTAACCCCAAGAATGCATTGTATAGAATTAGTCTCACAATTCCACAGACAGAATTAGCCTCTGCAATGAGAGATCAGCCCTTGACTGGTGGTTAATTACGTACAATTCAAAATCAACCCCCTGTTGCTCACATTTCCCTTGCGCCTGGAGCTCTTGGAAGAAGAAATTGCATGCTGTCCTGGGAAAGGCTGGAGAAGGTATACGGGACTGGGTTGCAACATGTTGGCGCATCTTAAAGACACATGTGAGAATAATGTGGTAGATTGTTGTGACAGCTGAGGACAGACTTTGCTAATCAGAATTCTGGGGGAAACAACTTTAAGCATAAAAATGTTTTTTTAAATGATTATTTTATTAGCCTTGTGATCAGTGCAACACAGGATTCTGTTCCTCTTGAAAGAAGGAAAGCATTCGTACATCCCCAGCATCCTTTAGTGAGCTCTCTAGGGATCAGGGAACTATGGCCTGTGGGCCACATTCTACTCACTCCTTTTTATACAGTTTCATCAGAACACATAATTTGTTTACATATGGTCTATGGCTGCTTTGAACTACGACAGAAGATTTGAGTAGCTGCAGCACAGACCAAATAGCCTGAATGGCTCACAGAGCCTAAAATATTTACTACCTGGCTCTTGATAGGAAACAGTTCGCCAATCCCTGATTTGGGGAAACATCAGGGAAACCACCTAACCTTGTGTTTTGAAGCTGGGTTCTGCTGGCCCATGACCTCCTGACCTTTTCCCTGCTCTGTTCTGCAATGCAGGAAATTGCAAAGGAGCTGTCTTCCACAGGTGTGTTTGAAGCTCCTGGGTCAACTGGCTTCTGTCTGGATTCAGCAATGGCAGATACCGACGGTAGACTAAAGAGGGAAAAGATTAAACACACACACACGTATATACATATACACAGATATGTGTACACACATACACATATACGCAAATATACCTATACAAACACACATCCACACATTTATACACATACACACATACATATATGTACATACATATGCACATGCACACATACATACATACACAAGCATACATATATACATATACATATGTAGACACACAAATGTGCATACATTTATACATATACACATATGCACATATAAGCACATAAACATACACACATGCATACATATATACATATACACGATATACACATATAAACATATATACACACACATACACAGTTTTACATATACACATATACACACATATACACATACATACACACATACATTCACACATACACACATGCACACACATACCATATATGCACACATGAACACACATATACACACATACACACACCACATACGCACACATATACATATGTGTGCGCACATACACACACATATACATATGTGTGCGCACATACACACACACACACACACACACACACACACTCTTCAGTCAGCCTCTCCAGTGGCAACTGTGAACCTTCTGTAGCCCCAGCTACTGTTGGCCTGGCCCCCTGTGGTGCCAGCTTCTGCTGAGGAACCCCAGACCCCGGACTCCAGTAACTCTGTCCTTTGACCCTCCAGCCAGAAGGTGGTAGGAGCTTCCGGCTGTACTGTTCTCTGTGATATCCCATGGTTGTAAGTAAACTCCTCAGCCCTTCCATCCCCTGTATAACCAGTTTCTTTTATCAAATTCCTGATTTTAAATCCATAGATTTGTTTCTGTTTTGTTGGTTGGATCCTGACAGGTCCAGGTCCTGACCCTGCATCCTGGCTGGAGCACCAAAGCCCTGTTAGGGTCAGCTTTCTGTTTTCCACCTTGATGGGGCTGTTGGAGTTTTGCTTTGAATACTGGGTGGCTGTGTTCTTCCAAATTATTGGAGCAGACAGCTTCATTAGCTGAGGAGTCCTTGCTAGAATCATGGGCTTCTCTACTGTCACCAGATGAATATCCATCTCCATTCTCCAATATCTCTCTCCTGCTCAGAGTAAGATGGGACCCCAAGGAGGTGGCACTATCATAGCTCTCAGCTCCTGTGCCCCTACCACCAAGAAATGTTATTCTGCTGATGCTCTTTGCTTGTTTCCACACTGCTCACCCTCCCAACATACCTCTGCCCAACTCCAGCCTAGTGTAATAACCCCAACCTCACTCTTACCACAGATTGTTTGGTTTTGATGCTCTCAACATTTGAATCCTGGCCCTTCCTAGTCCATCATTTTTCCATGATTTAAAACTTGATCCTGAAAAACAAAACAAAAAAAAATCAGTGGTCAAAACATTTAAGAAAATACTGGATTAAACAAATTAAAGGAGGTCTCTTCAATACAGGACTTCTCAGAGCCTTTAGAATAAGAGGGAATTGAGATGGCAGTGTTTTCAAAGCTAAGTTGAGCATGGAATTTTTCTTCTCTGTGTGTGGATCATCTCATGGGGCTTAGGATCCATGAAACATTATTCGATATGATGAATGTTTGTTGGTTTTGTCTGTCCAGATTCCATCTTTCTTTTACCCTCTTCTTCTGGTGACAGGATATCGTTCTTGAGTCAGAGACCTTTTCCATCTGGCATGGGTGGGACTGACCTTCCTGCCATCACCTTCAGCAACAGAGGTGTGATGTCATCCAGTTGTGTCCCCAGTGATTGACTGAGGATGGGAAGGTATCTAAATTGGGACAACCAGAGTCCTTAGGGAGACTTTTCTGACAAGGATTTCAGGAAGAACTTGTTCTTTCTTTCACTGGGGTTATTAAGTTGCTAGAATATTAGTAGGCCAGGGGTCTAATGGGTATCAGGTATGGAGAAGCTATTGGAACAGAAACCAAGCCAAGAGCCGTAACAGAATTGACAGCTAGAGAGAAAGCAGAATCCTGACAATATTTCCTGAGCCCCTGGACCCAGTGAAGTCCGAAACTGGCTCCATTCCTTTGACTCCCTAGTTACATGAGGGAGTCCTACCACTCCATTTTTATTTTACTAGTATTAATCATTTTATTTTTGCTCAAGGTAGTTTGAGTTCACCTTTTTGTCTCTCACAAATAAAACATACCTAGCTAATAGATGGAGAAAACACAGCCTCTTCTGGCTCAAACTACATGCCATGCTACCTTGGGTCAGAATCCACCTGCTGGCTTTGAATCCTTAGAATGCAATCCCCAAGGCCAGGCCCTGTGCTTGGCATTCTGTCCCACCCACTCGAGGTCCCCTGAAGACAGAAGGCCATATAGAAATCAGGGCTTGAACGGGAGAAGACAGATGGAGCAAGACAGGAACACAGGGTAGACCCCATCCATAATTCATCTTTCCAAAGCCAGATCGCAGTCTCGACATCCTGGATCTTGGTGTTGCGTGAACCCACTAGATGGGGCCTACAGGGAATGGTCACCCAGCCCTTTGCCTCTTCTTAAATTATGCCATGATTCTACATGTGCCCTAAATTTCCATCTTCTCTGCTGTTAGACCGTTCCAACACCAAAGATCATTGATTCCAGCCCTGGAATGATTTACTTGGTGCAACTGGAAAACAACATATGTTGACTTGAATGATAGTCAGATGAATAAATGGGAGACTCCAAGGTCTTCCAGCTGAGAAGCAGTTTTAATTCAGAAATTACTCATGTGGAATGGTAGAAGTGCCAAGAGTACAGGTGTAAACAAGTGGCAGAAATGAGAATAACCTGATGTGTGAAGAGAACAATGAAAATATTACCTCGTATGCTGAACGCCCCTCAACATTGGAAAGGAGCTTCCACAAACAATCTTGTTGATGCTCAAACCACCCTCTGAGCAGGAGAAGATGATTAGCCCCATTTTTCAGAGGAGATCATCGAGGCAGCCCAGAATACAAAGTGACCAAAAGTGCCCAATATCAGGTAGCCAGAGCGGGCAGTCAGGGCTTGAATGTGAGATGCCTGACTCAGGTCCAGGTCTCTTTGCACATCAGATAGGGATGGTTAGCTGGTTTCCATCTCTGATCAACATGGGACTGACTCTATTTCCCATTTTTCAGCCATCCCAACTACTCCACTCCAAAATCCAAAGTTTGCCCCTCAACACTAAACACCATTTTGCTGGAATGTCTATGTTTTCCTTCAACCATTAGCCTTCCCAGTCGCCACCTGGGAAAACTGTGACTATAGGTTCCAGCTCAAACCATAAAGGGTTAAGAACTAAAAATAGTATGATAGCAATTAAAGCTCTTCTTTCTCCTAATCATTTATTTCTTGATTTGGTAGCGTAAAGTCTATTATAGCATCTTAAGACATCAAAGAGTAGTTTTTATCGGGGGAGGAAGGATTATACCAAAGACAATCCTTTAAATATGGTGGACGTAAGTAAATTTTCTCTCTCTTTGCAAACCCAACCAACTCCATTAAGATGAACTAACAGTTGCTAATAAGGACAGCGGCCATCAGTTAAACAATTAACATATCTTTAGGGTTTTCTCCCCAACTCATCCATAAACTCCAGGAAAAAAAAAATGTGCCTGTCTTGTTCATTATTCTATATGCTCAGTAGGAGCAGGGCACGGAACACCAAGTAGATGCTTACATTAGAAAATAATACAACGATTGAATGAATTAACAAACCATTGAGATGAGATAGTCAATTCAGCATCAACATCTTTTTTGTTTGCTGATCCTAGAGAAACATTAGCTTCTGAACTTTATAGACAATAATAGCTTTGTACTCAGTGTACTTTACTATCATTCAGCAAAGCAGTTATTGATCACCCACTACGTGTCAGGGGTGTCTTAGATTGAGAGCCACTTCATATGCTTTTTGGTAAATGCACAGACACTGAAACATATAAACATACATACACAAATATAAACAGGCACACACACATATCCACAGACATATACACATACAATACATTTTTAAAGTCTTGGCTGGATTTTCTACTAATCAAGATATGCCTGGGTTTAACCTGTGCATGCCTGTTCCCTTCTACACCTGTAAGGATTTACCTTCACCCACACTTGCTCCTCAGCATGAAGGACCGAGCTTGCCTACAGATGGGCCATATTTAAGCCTCTGCTGCACCCATGCCTTGGGGCTGACTTCAGATATTTGTCTGCACTGGCCCGTAATCTGATCTTCCACTTAGGCATCTGCTTTGCCCTCTGTTCCCTCAGCCCTCACCTGTGCCCTGGTTTTTCTCAGACACTTTGGCCTGGGTCTCTATCTCTGAGATGTTTAAGCCCTGCCTCAGTCTTTCCAGGTCCTCTTGGGCCCTGGACCCCAGCACAGAGGCTGGATACTGAAATAGACTCCCCTGATGCCCCCCTTCTCTGATCTCTTCAGTGCCCTGCCTGTGGAACACTTTGGAATCCCACAGATCATGCTTGCTAGAACTTGAGCTGACTCCGTGAATGGCCAGCTTTTTCCTACCAGCTTGAACCCACTTGGGCCACCAGCATGTGGAATGCCTTTTCCAACAGGTGGGATTTGCTGTGATCCTTCTGTCTACCCCACCCTATGGTAAGCAAATGGACAAGGTCCTGGGGGGAGGTAGGACTGAGGCCCGTCTACCCGCTTTGAATAAATGTCCTTGAGACTTCTTTAGTTGTAAACTCTTAGAACAGGGTTTCTCAACCACAGCATTATTGACATTTTGGGCTGGACAATTCTTTGTGGTGAGTTGTCTCATTTTGCAGCACCCTTAGCCTCTATGTACTAGATACTAGTAGCACCCTTAAGCTGGGACAACCAAAAGTGTCTCCAGACATTGCCAAGGTCCCTTTGGGGGTAAAATTGTCTCCAGTTAAGAGCCACTGCCTGGCCAAGCACGGTGGCTCATGCCTGTAATTCCCAACCCTTTGGAAGACCGAGGAGGGAGGATCACAAGGTCAGGAGATCGAGACCATCCTGGCTAACACGGTGAAATCACGTCTCTACTAAAAATACAAAAAAATAGTCCGGCATGATGGCGGGCGCCTGTAATCCCAGCTACTCGGGAGGCTGAGGCAGGAGAATCGCTTGAATCCAGGAGGCAGAGGTTGCAGCGAGTCGAGATCACACTACTGCACTCCAACCTGGGCGACAGAGTGAGACTCCGTCTCAAAAGAAAAAAAAAAAAGAAAAAAAAAAGAACCACTGCCTTAGAAAATGCGAATGGTTTCCTTTGAGTAGAAAACATGTTGTTATTCCCGTATCTCACTCCATGGTAGAAAGGGCCTGTGAGTCACATGGATCCAGGGACAATAACTATCTTACAAAACTGCTATGGAAATTAACACTGTTATAATGGACATCTGTGGCTTATGTCTGTCATGTCTTCATTTTCCATACAGCACCCTGATTTTCCTTTGGGGAACCACCTCCTCTCCAATCTCAACCTGTGGAATTTGGGTGCAGTCTGTCCTCCTAGCCACAGAGATTGGTTTAGGCATGAGCAATGACTTAAGTTGGTGCAGTGAGGGTCAGCCCTGAGACTTTTGCTGAACTCTTGGGACAGGGAACTCTTTACAACTCTTGGGACTTTTGCCCGCTAGGGTTTTCAGATGGGAGGGAGCAAACTCAGAGCTTTTTGTGGCCAATTCAACTATCTCGCATCTCAACTTCTGCAAAGTGTAAGTGATAAAAAGAGAATGTGGGTTGCCGGGCATGGTGGCTCCCACCTGTAATCCCAGCACTTTGGGAGGCTGAGGTGGTTGGATAACCTGAGGTCAGGAGTTTGAAACCAGCCTTGCCAACCTGGTGAAATCCCATCTCTACTAAAAATACAAAAATTAGCTGGGCATGGTGGCAGGTGCCTGTAATCCCAGCTACTCAGGAGGCTGAGGCAAGAGAATCACTTGAACCTGGGAGGTGCGGGTTGCAGTGAGCTGAGATTGTGCCACTGCACTCCAGCCTAGGCGACAGAACAAGACTCAATCTCAAAAAGAAAAAAAAAAAAAAGAGAGAATGTGATATAGCAAAGCAAACTGATGATGAGTGTGACCCAAAGCTCATGCACCTTTGCATATGGCAGCTAATCTATCCTTTGTTTGCTTAAACTGTTTTGAGTTGAGTTTCTGTCCTTTGCAACCAAAAGCGTACTGATGAATATACTGAGGCTACATAGCACCTAGCATTGTGCTAAAACATAGTAGTGACAATATAAAGTAAACATTGTTATTAATTATTTAGTTGATAACTATTTGTGTGCCTTGCATAACATAATGCTGATTGTGAAGTGATGAGAACAGCCATAACATACTAGAAGGCTAGGGTTCCAGTCCGACCTCATCACCTACATGTGGTTTTGGCTAAGTTACTAATCCTGTTTCCCTTATTTGTAAGAAGATAGAATTGGAACCGATCAGTCATTGCAAATTGGTGGTCAGGGGATGGATCCAGACCTCCTTTTGGTGTTTCATTTCACCCTCACAGTATTTTACAATACATAAAATGTCATAAGAAAATTCAGATGTCCATGCTGCTATAAAGACACATGCACATGTATGTTTATTGTGGCACTATTCACAATAGCAATGACTTGGAATCATCCCAAATGTCCATCAGTGACAGACTGGATTAAGAAAATGTGGCACATATACACCATGGAATACTATGCAGCCATAAAAAAGGATGAGTTTGTGTCCTTTGTAGGGACATGGATGCAGCTGGAAACCATCATTCTCAGCAAACTATCGCAAGAACAGAAAACCAAACACCGCATGTTCTCACTCATAGGTGGGAATTGAACAATGAGATCACTTGGACACAGGAAGGGGAACATCACACACCGGGGCCTATTGTGGGGAGGGGGGAGGGGGGAGGGATTGCACTGGGAGTTATACCAGATGTAAATGACGAGTTGATGGGTGCTGACGAGTTGATGAGTGCAGCACACCAACATGGCACATGTATACATATGTAACAAACCTGCACGTTGTGCACATGTACCCTACAACTTAAAGTATAATAAAAAAAAAAAAAAAAGAAAAAAAGAAAGAAATTCAGGTGTCCAACTTCTTTAGGAAAATTGGGAGGTCAGCAACATTGGGCCCCCATTACCACATGGCAATGACAAACAGGTTTTAGAAGGGGCATGTACTCTCTGAGCCACCCGAGACCCCACCTCCCTCTTTCCCTTATTTTATGCTTGCCTGCCTCACTCAGCCCACAACCTGCTGCCTGCAAAAGCATTTGAGTTTGTGTTTTTGAGGCCATGCTCTTTCACCTCTGATATTTTCTGAGATGGCAGAACACACCCTTCACGCACAGGAGACCAAAAGGCAAGAGGGTCAAGGGAGAGAGATTGAGCCCAAGAGGGAAACAGCCACCCAGGAAAGCAATCTGTTATTCTAACCTCTGCAGGGCCACTGGCAGGTCCTCAGGCCTGAGACACAGCGGCAGTCGGGGGGTAGAGACACAAACAAGCCGAGATTGTCCTTCTTTGCTTTTCAGCCAGACAAAGAAAATCCCTCTCTGCGTAAAGCCTCCTCCGCGGACTTTGATGTCTCTCTTCCCAGCAGAGGCGCCCACTTCAGACAAGAGAGGCAGGCAGGGGCAGAGAGCTGAGAACAAAGCGGCGTTTCCTGGGCTGCTAATTATTCTCCTTCTGTGTAAATAATTATCTGGAAGAGAAAAAAACAGTCCACGGCTAAAGAGCTAGAAAAGCAAAAGGAGGATGAAAGGAGGCTGGGGATTTGATGTGTCCCCAGGAGCAGTCCTTGAAGGGGAAGCGAGTCACAGCAAAATCCTTCTTACTTCCTGTGTTTTAAACACCTAGTCTGGGACTTTCAAAGCCCCTGGCACTGGTGCTGTAATTAAATCGTGGTTCGGGAAGCCGGCGTGCGGGTGATCTGACAGTTTCTGTCTCTGGATCCTGCTGGACTCTGCTGGAATAGAGACAGGAAGTCTTAGAAATTAAGGCTCTGGAGTCAATTGGGCCCCAGTTTGAACCTGGGTCTACTGCTTATTATAAACAGGATCGGGGACAAGTTGCTTGTTATAAATGAGATGGGGGACGAGTTCCTTCTTCCCACCTAGGGTCCATGCAAAAGCAGTGTCTTCTACTTGGAAGACTTCCCCATCTCTCCAAATCCGTGTGCAGTTGATACTTACACATCTCCAGTGCACACTGCTGGTGCCCTGCCACAGCCCCTTGCACTTACCATTTCTGTGCATGCCCACCCAACTATCAACTGCCAGCAGCCCTGTCTAGCACCCTTGGAATGTTTCTCCTGGGCACTTAAACCCTGACTGCCCTTGCACAAAGCACACCAGAATTAATGCTCTCTGGGAGCATCCCTCAACCAGTGGCCGATGAGAATTAGGAGAGAACGACCTTGACCCTCTCATCCCTTAAGTGACAGGAGTTTGAGGCTGGAGTATGCTCTCCCAGAGCCTCCCAGAGTTTCCAGATGGGAACTCTAGTTCCCTGGAGTGGCTCCTGGCTGGATAATGCATCTTCTATTGATTCTTTCCTATCCTTGTCTCACCTCTTCACTCCTCTACAAGTGCTTCCCTGGATCATCTCCTGAATCAGCTACTTTTATTCAAATCTTTGCTTCAGGGTCAGATTCTGGAGAAATCAAACGAAGGCAGCAGCCTTCAACTCTCAGCTCAAATGTCATTTCCTGGGGGAAGCACGCCGTCAACATCTTGGACCCAATCAGGAGTTTGAGTTAAATCGGAGCGATGCCCCCTCTACAGTTTGCTCATGGCACTCATGCATGTGTAATTTTCTTTTTCTGCATCTCTTTATTGTATTAATATCTGTCTCCTCCAGTCAAATATAACCATCAAGAGCAGTGTGCCCGTTTTATTTATTGCATTGTCAGATCCTGGTATAGAGCCTAACACATAACAGGTGCTCAATAAAAACCTGGTGAGCTCGTTTCCTCTTATGTAACACAGAGACCCAAAACTATGGCTATTGCATGGGGAAGGAGATGTGGATTAAATAGCTCGTAATCTATACAAAGTGATTAACTTCTAAATTGATGCAGTGTTTGGAACATAGGGAATATTCAAAAAGCTAACATTCTCTGCAACCTTAACTGTTTCCTCCTCTCTTACCCACCACCGATATCACATACAAAATGTAATTGTTCCTAAAACATTGTGAGCTTGGAATGAGTGTCCTTGGGTCACAAATAAAGAGAATGAGCCTCAGAAAAGTGAAGTGACTTGTCTAGAGTGACACAGCATTCCAAGGGAATGGCCAAGATTCCAAACTGGCTCTTTCTGACCCCAAATTCTCCCCACTCCAGGCTCATCTGAGCCTGGATTGAAGGCAGAAGAGGGTGGTGTCGGGAAGGCCCATTAGGAGTAGTTGAATCAGTTTTGGGGAGAAACAAAGGGTTGAGCCATAGCAGACTCGAATGGTCAGAGAAGCAGATTGGGGAGAGGAGGCAAACAGATGCCCAATGTCAGAGAAGTTTGGTAAGTCTTGGCCATTTTTGTCCTGGGTGCACGGGAACATTTGAGTTTCTCCCTTGAGGCATGGGAAAGACGGATAAGTGGGTATTGGAGCCACTGGGCCTGGCACAGGAAATGAGCTGAGTCACAGGACTGACTCCACTCCTATCACCTCGTCTCTGCCTGACAGTGGGGCCATTCATCAGCCGGACATTCAAAGACAAACAGGAAGGACATTTAGAAGAAAGAATGAGAATCAGGACACCTCCCATTACCCAGCCATTTACAAAGATTCTTTGCAACCAGGGGCTTGTATACTTGGTGGGCAGCGGAAGAAAACTTTGCATTTGGCTGTTTGGATACTCCCAAGTAATGCATCCAAGTAAGCACGACACGTTATCGTCTTATCTGCGAACGGCGGGAGCCGGATCCCACCGAGCTGTTCCGGAGTCTCTAATCAGCACCAGATGACCAGAGCTCTTGGCTTTGTGAGGGTCGGGAGGATTTCCTCGCCTCTTATAAGGATCACACGGCAGAAGATATTCAATGTTCAGCCCAATATAGAATTGCTGTCAATTTTGGATGGCATAGGCATTGTGCTGTGCATGTTGCAAGCCCCAGTTGCATGGGGCTCTTCCAGATATCTCCAATAAGCCTCTGTGGTCCCCATCCATCAACGGCAAGAGGAGAAGGTGACAGGATAGGTCTCAAGGGGAATTGTGGGCTGAGCAGCAAGAGTTATTGATGAAGGTGCAGAATTAGCACAGGCCCCAGATGAGCCTGGAGGTGGACACGAAGCCAGCTTCTTTCTTCTGTGTTGGGTAAGGCAAGCAGGTTGGTGTGGATAGAGTCGCTAACCTTAACCTTAATCCTAACACCTGTTAAATTTGAATTTTAGATTTAAAAAGTCAAAAAAAAATTTTTTTTTAGCACAAGTATACCCCATGCCATATTTGGGACATACTTCATGCTATGGTTTGGATCTTTGACCCCTCCAAACCTCATGTTGAAATCTGATCCCCAGTGTTGGAGGTGTTTAGGTCACAGGGGCTGATCTCTCCAACAGATTAACAACCTCTGGAGGAGTGGGGTGTGTAAGTGCGAGCTCTCACTCTTATTAGTTCCTGCAAGAGCTGGTTGTTGAAAAGAGCCTAACACATCCCCCACTCTCTTTCTTTTACCTCCTCTCTCACCGTGGGATTGCTGTTCAAGCAGGATCCCCTATATCTTCTGCCATGAGTGGAAGCAGCTTGAGGCCCTTACCAGAGGCAGATGCTTCTCGTGCAGCCTGCAGAGCCAGGAGCCAAATAAACCTCTTTCCTTTATAAATTACCCAGCCTTAGGTATTGCTTTATGGCAACACAAACAGACTAAGATGCTTACACTAAAACATTATTCATTGCTTGCTTGAAATTCAAATTTACCTGGGCATCTTGTTTTTATTTGCTGAATCTGGCAACCCTAGCTGGGGCTTGGTGGAAATTTAATGTAGGGGCCGAAGACCTGTGGCCTGCAGGTGGGAATGCTTTAGTTTGACTAGCACAGTGCTTCAAAAATAAGAACATTTCACACAAAATTCAGACTTCTACCTTCCCTTGATATCTAGTCACACTTCCCCCTTCTTACTATCAGTTCATTCCCATCTCCACCCCTACTGGCTCACATGGACCTAATTTACTCATTTATTGTTACTTGCTTGGCCCATGAATCTTCTGAGTTTTACACCCATTGGCTTGCCTCTGGGTACACAGGGAGAGACCCTGGTTTACTCATGGCAATGGCAAACCCTCCAGCTCAAGAGTCATGGTGTGGAGACCTCGTTTCATCATGGTGTAGCTCTAGTCTCTCTCTAGGTGGTTCTTTACTTTCCCATATGTAAAAATGGAGATAGATTTTGCCCTCTCTCAATCTGGAATGTGATGAAGATGGAATGCAGATATGAGCATAAAAGTTCTCTGATAGGCCGGGCGCGGTGGCTCAAGCCTGTAATCCCAGCACTTTGGGAGGCCGAGACGGGCGGATCACGAGGTCAGGAGATCGAGACCATCCTGGCGAACACGGTGAAACCCCGTCCCTACTAAAAAAATACAAAAAACTAGCCGGGCGAGGTGGCGGGCGCCTGTAGTCCCAGCTACACAGGAGGCTGAGGCAGGAGAATGGCGTAAACCCGGGAGGCGGAGCTTGCAGTGAGCTGAGATCCGGCCACTGCGCTCCAGCCCCGGCGACAGAGCGAGACTCCGTCTCAAAAAAAAAAAAAAAAAAAAAAAAAGTTCTCTGATAAAGAACGTGATCTTGATAATGGCTTTCTCCAGATGTCCATTCATGAGGCTTCCACCCTGTAGTCAGCATAATCTATCCAAAATATGCATCTTTCCATGCTTGCTTGCAAAATAAAATCCAAACTCCCTCAAGTGGCATGCAAGTTTCAGTGGTTTGGCTTATCCCATATCATCTTCAAAACTGTCTACCTCAACTGCTTCCAGGAAGCACTTAAGATGCTGAATTTCTCAGTTGCTTAGACTCACTCTGCACCCTCACACTCTTGGGCCTTTGGGTATGATACTCTCTGCGCCTAGAATATGCTCCCTGTCTTTCTTAGCGATTGCAACTTCAGTGCCATCTCTTCCCATTTTACATTTTGTTAGGATATAGTTGTCCCTGATGCATATCCCACATTACTCTTCTTCTCCAGCCAAGACATTTCTCCTGCAGGTTCCAGCTAGGGTCCAAATGTCAAAAAACAACCTTAGCTCATTTGAGTCAGAACAAGGAGTTATTGGAAGAAGCCACCAGGCTTCTGAAAGGGCATGGACCAGTCAAGCTTTAGGGACCATAAAAACAGGAGTTGGCGAATGGTCTCTCTAAGACATTGCCATGGGTGACACAGTCTCAACTACTTTCTGTCCCTTGGTGGTCAACAGAATGTCATTGGCCAGGCTTGGCTTATATGCAAGTGTCTATGGCCATCTGCAACTGGCAGTCTTAGCAGAGAATTTCTTGGGTGAATCATGGTACAGTTCTCCAAAGAGAAGAAGCGGATACTGTTATCCCAGAAACAGGGAGAGGGCACAGGTAGAAAAAAAAAACAGGTT